AGTATTTTTTTTATTTATAGTGGTAGTTATAATTTCTGGGTTGGATATTCTTTAACATTCACTGAGGAGCTAAATTTAAATCCTTGACTAGTTTTCTGTGTCACACATTGCTGAATATTAAAACTATTTGTCAGATGAGTGTTGATTTGAACAGAACAAATCTCTAGCTCAGAGTAGTCCTGCTCTTGCTAAAGCTGTGCCTTAGCTTCAGGAGACACACTGTAATTAAATGCTAATAGAAATGGTTAGCTAAGGAATAGCTCAAGCACTTTACTGCAATGAGACCTTGATTTCTTTTGTGCCAAGGTAATGTTAGAGCAACAATTGATTTAGCCTGAATTTACAGGACCATGACAGATCATAATCTAGTTCCCAAGCACTACAATAATTCACTGAAAAACAAGAGAGATCTAGTTCACTTTTTATAATTATGCAGTTGTTTTTTATGGCTAATAGAATAATCTTCATAAGTAATCCAGTCCTATTGGAGCTGGATAGTTAATATTAGGCAAAGTTTAAAAACACGAGAAATGCAAAAAGCCTGAGTCCACTTCATGAAGAACACAGAGCAGTATTGCATATATAGTATGAACAGGAAAATTCCCTGCTTTGTAGATTCAGTAGGATGTAGATATTTCCAAATGTGACTTTGTTGTCTTTTTTAAAATAAGAAAATAAATACTCTCATTCTCAAGCTACATTTCAGAGAGGACAGAATTTTTTCTTATTATTATTTTTCTTTTTCTTCAACGCCCCTCGCCCCCAACATTTAGCTGTAGTCTTGAATCTAAACAGTACCGTTTGGATTTTTGTACTTGGATTTGGTGTTATTGAATAAAACCTCACAATATTCCCAGTGAGAAGCAAACAGAAGCTGCAGTATTTCAAGCTGCAGTATAATTTGGTTACTGAAGATTCTGATGTGCATCTGCTTGGTTAAGCAAGAAGGATATTTTTTCTACTTAATAAACCAGGTAGTAAGTGAAGTGAATGTCTTGTGTACAAAATCTTTACATTGATACTTACTCATTTCAGAATAAATATACTCAGCTGTTTATTCTTCCAAAAGATTCATCAACACTTTTCTGTAAGAGTTCACTGCTAGAAACAATTAATTTATATTCATCATCTCCATTGTGCAAAATTGTACAGATATGGCAGTTAAAATAATATGATAGTGCTGAGCAATTTGCTTCTCATTTGCTTAACTGAGAATGGGATTCAAGCTTCATGTTGTGAGTGCCTGTCAATCTCGTGTGTATATGATTAATATCGGTGAGTCACTTCTGATGGGAATTTCAGCTTTTTCTCACACGACGAGATAGGGATGCTTTCTGCTCCTCCCACCACCAGTTTAAAAGCACTGCAAAAGACAGAAAGAAGGAGGTAATTTTTCAGGTTTTCAGAGTTGCACCCTATTAAAGGAAGGGAGGAGACATCCAGTCTGTTGGCGAGCAATTTGCTGCACAGGTATCTGCAAACCAACCAGGACAGCTGAGACTGGGATAAAAGTGTAAGTAGATTGTTACTCACTTGAGAAACCATCCATTCTCACTGTTTATTTAATTCAGAATTTATCTGGGAAGACTAGTCCAGAAGAAGGAGAAGGAGGATTTGGGAAGGAAATAATTCTGAAGGTGCAGGAAGATAAATTGTGAAGGGGTTCATCGTAGAAACTAGTGGAGCTCTGGAGGCCAGTTTATCCCTATCGGAAGTTACCTGGGGAGAATATAATGCTTTATGTACATAGGTTAGCTCAAAAGCTTGCTGGAGGTGGGTGTGAAATAATGTAGGCATGTCTATGGAATGTTCCCTGTGATTATAGAAAATGTTTTCTCTTTGTGTATGTACATGGCTCTCTGCATAAATGGTATGTAGTTTGATTATGAGATTCAGTTTCCACAACATTCATTGAATCAGGCAGAGTGGCTTCAGTATTCAGGAAGTCTAAGGGACTGTGGTTCATGTGTACCTAGAGGTCAGATACTCAGAAATGTCTAGGCACATAAATATATGAGAAGTCCTCAGTGGCTTTTTGCAGTGTTTAAACAGACTGCTGAGTTAATAACTCCTGGTCGCAGTAGGGCTTAGGCAACTGACTTGCTTCTGTTTTAGAAAGCCCTGCTAGATCTCTACATATAATTTTAGACTTCTAAGTAATGTTTATAAAATATGGTTTGATATTTAAATGTATATTCAGCTAAAATTTGAAGTCTACCCCACATCACTTGTGACACTGAGTACAGACCTCCTGAGTTAGTGACTTGCAGTTTTTACCTTCTGCACCTGTATCGTCTGTTCTGTTAAGCTGCAGCTGTGAGACAGGACAGCGTGAGATCAGTTGAGGCTAACCTCTGCTGCTGTGGGCAACTGTATCATGTAATTCTCGTCATTATGGTAGTGATATTCACTATAGATAACATTACTGATGATTTCGTGACTTCTAGGAGCTTAATCTTGTATCTTCCGTCTAAAACCTTTTGGACTAATACATATTTCAGAACTGACTCAGCAGAAAGCATATGGCTACAATGAGTATAAACGCCAATTATCATGACATTAGCAATGGTGCTGCTGGTTTCAGTTCACATTATTAGATTTATATGTCTAATTCATTCTATTACGGAGAGAAAATTACATTCGATTTGTATTACAAACAGGTTTAAAAAAAATTAACCCTTGGGGGACAAAAAAAAAGTATTGTCTAAGGCACACAGAGCCAACACTTTAGAAGGTGACTTCCATAAAAAGAAGAAACATTTCAGAATGGTTCTGTAATTTATTGTATCAGAGATTAACTCCTTCCCTTCTTCCCTCCTCTGTTCCACACAGCTCTTAGAGTTCTCTTTGCTTTTCCAAAGTATAATGACATGCTCTGAGTGGCTGAAAAAGCTTATTTCTGCCCTAGGCTGAGAGCAGAAAGAGGATGAATGCTGTAGTAGCATGCTGTTAATGTGCTGATCTGACCACTGAGGGAAAACACAGGTCTTTACAAAGATACAAAACGAAAAGATTTTAATAACCTCTTCATTAGTTCTCATGTTTGAGTATTTTCTGCTTCTTCACAAATTGCTTTGCCCTGTTGGTTTTCAAAATGCATTTTTCATTGAAAATCTCGTACTACAGACAGAAGATGTTCAGATCAAGCTCCTTGCTGCAGTTAAATGCACACTAAATACTAAGCATGCATGCTGTTGGGTATGTGCACTTATCCATCGAGCAAGGATTAACTGTTAGCAACCTCGCAAAGAATTGCAAAGTATTTTGTAAGACTGCCATCTCTGAGTTCAGACAATTCATACAGTGTGGCTCTTTGAACAGTTTTTAAAAAGTCAAGACCAGAGAAAAAGTTAGGACTGGGTAAAGAAAAGCAGAGCTGTGTATGTGTGGGTGAGGAGGAGAATGTTTCTCCTGTACTCTGGCTTATTTTTTTCCTTCTCTGTATGACCTTTTCCCCGTTTCCCACACATCTCTGTCACGCGAGGTTTGAAGTGACCCTCTTGTCGCTCTCCATTGCGCTCTGCGGAATAGCATGCAGATCAGGAGGGGTCACTTAGCAATGGCATTTACCAGGGGTCAAACAGCACCAAGGTCACTTCTGGACTAGGTTTGTACCATGGGCTACCGTCTTTGAATTTAGAAATCTTGACATGCAGGCTGCTGAAGGACATCCGCCCAACTGCTCCCTGATGGCATCTTAAGCTCAAGACCCTCACTGTGCTTTCTGACATCTGTTCTAACCGGATGGCACCTGGAAAAATAAACCCTTTTTGGTCACGAACTCTTACTGGAACACCTACAAAATACTGTGACAGCCACTTTGTAAATACCCTGAGTAGAACATAATGTTCTTGTTCTGAAAAAGGATCACAAGAATGACTTGCCATCTCTGAATTACCATTTTTTGTACAGCAGTTCAAGCCTGTGCACAGACGGCTTTGTTTTTATGGTTTACCTTTTCAAACCTTTATATATATCGTCTGAATACCCAAAGGAAATGTCTCTTTCTGCCATTTTTGACATCATCCTAAGTATCAGGTTGCCCAGAGAAGTTGTGGATGCCCCATCCCTGGAGGTGTTCAAGGCCAGGCTGGATGAGGCTTTGAGCAACCTGGTCTAGTGGAGGGTGTCCCTGCCCATGGCAGGGGGGTTGGAACTTGATGATCTTTAAGGTCCTTTCCAACCCAAACCATTCTATGATTCTATGATGTCCCATGAAGTATTTTGTGAATTTGTGCCTGATGGCATGATGTAGCTCTAACAGTGATCCCAGTGGGAACAGATGAGGAAAAAAGCCTATAAATTACCACCAATCTGTAGTCACACTGCCAGGTTTCTGAGAGACAGCCATTACTCTTGCTGATCTAGTGAAGAGATGAATAACTTCAGCTGATGGCTTGTAGGAAGCTCACCTAGGGGCTCAGAAGTCTCTCGTGAATCAAAGAAAGGCAGCCACAGCTGTGGGAAACTGGGGGCTCTTTTAAGATGCCTGTATGAAACTCAATACAGATAGGTAACCGGATAGGTAAAATGGTGATATCTTATTTTTTCTTTTTTGAAATGTCACTTTTCTATGTTGTCCGTAGAGCTCCATTTACTAGTTTTCAGAGATGCTGCATAGTAAATGGTCAGTGTACAACAGTTAAAAATAACTAAGTGATGCCATCTGCTGTCTTAAAATCTTATTTAATATTACATTTGATGACTGAATTGTTATTCTAAGAAGAAATGGAAACAGCCTACACTGAGTATAATGTCAGAGCTGTGACATGCTCTCTGATCCATATCAAAGTTATGCAATATAAATACTGATTCTGATTAAATATAGTAGACTATAGAATGTCAGAAAGAAATGTGATACTAGTGTCAATCCAAAATAACTCCTCAGTGAATCTACTTTTCAAATAAATAGAGATTTTTTTTTTCCAGGCTGCTTTGTTTTTTGTATTTCTGAGAGGAAGATATAAAATCCTGTGGTACAGAGGGTGGGTTGGAAGAACATGGCACACCATCCCTTTAAAGTGTATGTTTATGAAAATGTATTTGTTATGTAGTGATATTCTTCACATTACATCTATATTTAGTACAACTTGTTATCCACAATAACTTTACTTTTAGGTGCTGGTCAGCCTGACCATGGACTTCAAAGAAGTTAAGAACCACTCTTGTGTAAGATGTATTATTCAAAGAGAATTCAACCATCATCTCAAAAAGGTAGAACAGATCATAAGATTTAACAGTTGAATGTATACACTAAACTAAATTTGAAATGAATTTGACTACTATGCTGAGTCTTGAAAAGGCATTTTGTTCAGAAAATATTGAATACTTATTTATTTCATGTATGTATATGCGTTGTTAGGTTGGTTGGTGTTTTGACAGCAAGAGTTAAGGAAGTGTTTTCTTCAAATGCAGCTGTGCCAGATTGAAGTTCACAGGTTGCCACTTACTGAAAGGGTGAAACATCTGAAGGTCCTGCAATCAGCAGTGCTTGGCAAGTGTAAGTGCGTGTGGAACCAGGCAGGATTTGTGCTTAGCATTTAACTCTTTCTCCCTTTGTTCTTCGTTTCTTTTCGTAGGGGTGTATAAAGCACAGAGATAATCTCAGTTTCCTGCACTTTATTTTCACCTCAGTGAAAATAATCTGAACTCTGTGAAGTAGACTATAGATTCCAGTATTGCTCCAACTTGTAACTTCTTTTCCTGAATGGATATGCCTTATTCAATGTGGCATGAATAAGGATATGTTTGGACATAAATGGATGTAGAACTACAGTCTGATAAAGAAATGTGTAATTTTGTGTGGTTGTGGGTGTTCTTTTTTTTTTTTTGAAGTATCAATACTTCAGTTATGTGTATTTCTGCTTGTGTGTTGAAAGATACACAATCTGTGCTTTCTTATGCTTTTATGTAGTTTAATTTTCATGATAAAACTCATCCGATACGTGAATACCATTTTTAAATGTAGTACACTGGAACTCTCCCTTTCAAACACTATAAATAACAGAAGTCCTTCAGTTGCTTCCTCCCTCAGTACTTGGGAGCGTATCCACAAGATTCGCAAATGACCAAACCAACAGCGAATTCCCCAATTTAGTGATCCCGAGGAAAGTCTTACCTTCCAACTGCCTTTTAAATCAAGAAGTCTACAAATGAGTGTAGCACAGTTCACACTTCAGTGGAAAGCAAACTATGCATGTACTTACATCGTTCTTGTAGCTTGCCGTACATCTTCATTTCAAATTTCTGTAAAATTCCTTTCTCTGCAGCCAGATTGTCCTGTCTGGCATATCCAGAAATAATGAAATTTATTGAAAAATATGGAGATAGATTTAAAAAGTATGTGCTTGTTGGTCCTCTTGATTTTTGTTTTCCAAACATTCACATATTTCCAGACTTCTCTGCACAGCTCTGAGGGCTCAAACCTTACTTTTAAGAGGCAAAAGAAAATGTGAATTGAGATTTACATGTAACCATGGGTTGGGTTTATAAACCCAGGAGCTTCACTGCAGTTCACAGAGTTCACTGCAAAGTGGCAAAGTGCCCATCAACCAAAAGCTGTGACAGTATGGAATTGAGATGCAATTACTTACATGTAAATCTGCTGCTCTTAATGTAGTCCCAAGTGGGCATCAGTTGTAAACTGTGTGTTAGGCCTTAATTGGGATGGTCTCTAAACAAGTGGGGGGGGGAAGGACCTAATTTGGATAATATAATCTGTGAGTTCCTGTTGTATTTCCAGGGCAAATGCTGCGCTCATAATTAAAGCATTAATAACAATGTGAGGAAATGTTATGCCCTTGGTTGTAGAAAACCTTACCTGAAGGCAGCAGTAGATTTAAAGCTCTTGTTGGGAAAAGCAGGAGATTTTATTCCTCATGAAAAACTCAAGGAGCTCTTGGGACAATGTTTTAAAGAAGCTTCAAAAATGTACTCAGTTTCTAATTAGCTCATCCTTCTCAGGGAATGATGACTGACTGTTAGCAAAGTTTTTCTGGAAATCTCTGGGCTTTTGGATAACATGTGTCTTCCACGAGCCCAGGCTTGGCCGTATGTAAAACGGAACTGCTTCTGTCTGCAGGATGGTGAAGTGTCAGGGTAGCCGGAGTGCTTGTGATTCCATGAGGTGATGTGGAAAGTGGAGTATGGATTAAAGATATGGATGATGCGAAGGAACGACCAAGAAGTAGGGAAGATGGTGGAATAAAAGGAAAACCAGGCTGTCAAAATGGTCTTCTTTTCAGTCTGCCCACCAAGGTTTTCCTATGCTATGCTTTGGCTGAAGCATTTAATTCCTCTGGTTTGTATGTGCTTTATAGGAACCATTAACAGTAGCTCTTTGGAGAGTGTCAGTTACAACAAACTGAGTATTTATACAGTTTCAGAAAATGTCCCTGGATGCATGTGCATTGTAAGGTATTTCTTAATGTGTTTAGGTAGTTGCTACCATTTGTTAAATTGCCAAGCATTTAATTGTAGTTTGTATCATCAGATCTGGACTCCATCCAGCATTGATGTTTCCCACTTCTAACGCTTTTGAGTTTAGAGACTTGCATGTATGCTGTGGGAAATTAAGGCCAGAGAATGACAGTGGATGTGGTGGTGTGCATTGGGGAAGAAGTTAGAGCTCATATATACCATCAACTTAAGGGGGTTGCGAAGTCACAAACCAAACCAAAGCCCTACCCTGTTAAATTGAGAGTCACTTTCTCTTTTTCTCATTCCACTGGTGTTTTCAAGCATAATCTCTTTTTGCCTTCTGTGTAGTGTCTTTTGTTCACTATTCATCTACTTGCCAAATTTACAACATGCTGGAAGACTGGGAGAGGAGCAGTTAAAGAGCATACTGCCTATGACCAGAGAAGTATCAAGGAGATCCAGGTCATGGCAGTTCAGACTTTAGCAGCCTGGTAACTTCAGCGTTTTTGACTTGCAGATGTGTCTTCATATCTGGGGTATCATGACTTAAAACTTTGGAAAGAGAAGATAAAAAGCAGTTAATCTTTTCTCTCTCCAGTACTGACTTTCTAATGGCATATTTATAGCTGCTAGGAAGAGCAGAGTGGAATTCTGCAGACTTGAAGAAATTCGGTGGTGTTCAGCATATAGTAATTTATAATTCAATATTCTAATTTCAAATTGGTCTAGCTATGATATAATCTGATGGCCACAGCCTTACTTTATTATATGATAGTGTGTGTATGCAGCTTTAGCACTCTGCTTAGAGATCTAGAGTCTTTAACATCCCAGATCATTGCATGAGAAATCATCCTGTAGCCACCCTTGCTGTCCCTGTGCTCTGTGTAGTTTCAGTCACTTCACATTTGTGAAGGCTCACTGGCAGATTGGAGTTGT